GCATGCTTCCTTGCAGCTGAATCAACAGCTTGGGCACTCAATAGAACCTGCGTGATTTCCATAGCCATATTCTCCCTGCCAACATCAAAACATAGAGAACATTTTATAAACTAGACATTCAAAATGGTACGGGTTCAAAGCCAAATAACAGAGCAAGGATTCAGTTTTCGTTTAAAGTCATCAAATTTCCTATAACACAATACTTGGAAGTAAATGAAAACAGGACCAAAATCAGTTCAAAAACTTCAGGATAAGCCCACATCTTTAGAAATCAAATAAAACCTAAGCTCATGGTCAAGGAATACTATCCTCCACTAAGGACAAATTTAATGGATTACAACAGTGCCAAAATAGATTTTCAACCTACCTAACCAGTAAAGCCTGGTAACTGTGCTGTTGAACAACAAAAACATGCCAAAAACAAATTCACAAATCACTTAATGTTTTGAAACGGAATCCAAATTACAGAGTTCTTATTCGGAGTGGAACCCCATTGTTAATAAGTCTTCCACAGCAAGTTTCGGCAAATTAATGGATCAACCAAAGTATTCGTAACAATGAGTGTTCGTACAATCAGGAATCGACAGACAAAGAAGAGATGGAACCAAAAATACCTGAGGGTGAAGTATGCGGAGGTGCGAAAGAGATATTCACTCCGGAATCGGATGACTTCAAAATCGGCGCAAGAGAAAACCCTAACCAGACCAGAGAGCTTTTTAGAGAGAGAGGAAGAGCGGTGCAGAGCTGAATTTGAATTTTGAAATGTGGAGATTTCTTCAATGTGGAGATTTTTTCAAATGTATTTTCAATTATTTTATCTGATTTTTTTTTTTTTATCTCTCTTTGTATTAATTAAACTAGCGTAGATCCGGTGCGATGCATGGACGCGTTTGTTCTTTAAAATTTTTTTTTCTAAAACTCTAAATATAAATAGTTATATATAAAAATAAACATTTCGTTAATTCAATCAAAAGAATACAACAGGAAAAAAGAATCAAAGGAATACAACATATGAAAAATCATATATTATTGTAAGATAATGTTTACAAATTAAATATGTATTATGTGTATAATATGTAACAAAATTTACTATAATTAGTTAAAACTAGACCTAGAGATATACGAATTTTATGTAAGACATTTTTTTTATTTAATTTTTTTTTTTTTTGTCAAAACTAACAGGGCAAAACATTATTTCTCATTGATGACTTTATTCAATCATTTCTTGATTACATTTCGATAATTCAATTTTTCTTGTTTTCAAATCTAGCATGAATTCTATTCGTAAGCGATAATTACAAAAACCATTGGTATCAAAGTTTCCATTACTCTTATCACAAAAGCGTGTTGATACCCGTGCGATGCACGAGGTATATTATAAATTAATATTGTTTTATTAATATTATAAAATTATTTAAGGTAATATGCTAATTTTATCTGACACAATATATACGGTCCGTAGTAATATAAAGTTTATTGATTTTTATTTATTTATTTAATTTATTTTGGTGGGTACTAACTATTTAATATATAAATTTTACCATTTAAAATTTATAAAATATTATGAATATATAAGATTTTAAATATGGTGTTGGTATATAAATTACTTACATGTACTTATAAAATTACGGATTTTCTTGATTTTATAACTTTTTTTTTAATATTTCATATTTTGCATATTAATCGATAACTAACTAAATTTTAACCCAATTTTCCTTTATTACGATTTTAGATGAATGAAATATTACTTTTTATAATTACATTTAAATTTTAGTAACTTTAATCACTCATGCAATGCAATGAAATTTCTATATATTAAACTATTATTTATTTATTTTTTGTCTACATTTATTTCTTTAGTTCATTTTTCATCATAATATAATGAGTGCATTAATATCCAATTGAAATATTTAGATAAATTATGTATTTCCGTTATTACAAATGCTATAATTTTTATTATGATATTTGACTATATTATCTTGTTTACTCATTTTTCTTTATTACATAGTATACAATAAAAAATATATTTTTTTACAACTTGAATCGTTTTTTTATGTGTATAGATATTTCTAATATGAAACTTATAATTTTTAAATTCACCTCACCATCAAATAATAATTTTATGAGTATATGGAATTTAATTTTTCAATAGTAGTTTCAATACAAATGATATATTCAATGGAGATGTTTTTTTTAAGGTTACGTTGACTACATTTTAGCAAATTTTATTAATAATGTAAATTATCCGTGAAGTTAATATGATTAAAATACAAATATTCTGGTTATTCGGTATATAGTTTAAGTGCTTATGAGGTGAACATAATAAAAAAAAAAATATCTATCAATGATGAGATGATAATATAATTAATAAAATCAATTTTCATAATTATAATATATAAATTTTTTAAAATTACTACAAAATTCATGTATGTTCAAATTGAAAATATATGTAATCCATCAATATTCTATTTAAGTCAATTTATAACTACTGAATATTAGCTTTGAATAAACAAAAAATAATTAATGTTCATATATAAAATTTGTTGATGGATAAAGGTTGATTATATGTTAAATATAGATGAAAATATTTTCCCGCCAAATACAATGCCAATTGTAGTAACAAAGATTGGTCCATTATATAAATATAGATATAGATATAGATACTTAAGTCACTATTTACATTCATAAACTACTTACAACTATTATAAAAAATTAAACTGGAATTGAGCTACAACTATTATAATGCGTTAACCATTTCTTAGGTAGAATCAGTCACGAGGGTAGCTAAACGTGCGTTATAAGGTCCTAAATCGGATAGGGGTAAGAGTTTGGTTTTTTGGGGGAGATAGTGGAAAAGTTGACAGATAAGTCACCCTTACTGCCACTCTACAGAACCGTACATGAGATTTTCACCTCATACGGCTCCTCGTTCAATTCAAGAGGAACTGAGCCTAGATTTTTTCCCCCAAAAAATTTTGATATTCTTCTCCATATATAACTTAGTTATCTATTTTACTGTTCAAATTATAGCATTATTCATAGATAAATCATTACAATATTCGTATGACTACTGTTTGTGAAATATGTCCAAATAAATTCTTTATATTAATAAAATATAATGAGAAGAATACAAAATTAGATCAAAATTTGGGCACACAGTATGTCAACTACACCATATACAAATTAAGTATAAACTTTCATTAGAAGATCCATTAACCTAAATTGAAAGCAAACAAAAAATTAAACCAAAAACATTCACGACAATAAACCTAAGTTAATATACACACCAACATTCCCCTGGGGTCATTGATATGGAAACAGAACAGGCTCATCTTAAACCTCCAACTACTGTCATTAGCCAAGACCAGAGTAACCTCAAAGCTACTACTAAAACTTGGAGGAGATATTTATCAAGAACTTTTAGAGTGCAGGGGCAAACAGATAATTCAACTCAGCTGGTGATTAGTAGTATTGGTGAGGCCAAGACAGAGCCAAGAATAACTAACAGAGGGAGACACTGACAACAATCAAACCTCTGAAGACAACAAAAAGCAGAAAACTGAATCAAAGAAGGTGGGGGTGGCCAGCCTGGAATGGCACCCAAGTTCCCAATTCTAGTTGCGATGTGGAACTGTAGAGGACGAGGTGGGTCCTCTTCAGTTTTCCAAATCAGAGAGTCTTGCAAGACTCACCACCCAGTGTTATTATTTTTGTCAGAAACAAATAAATCTTCTGCTTTTGTCAAAACAGTAGTTAGGAAACTTGGCTTTGATAACTGGTGTGCTATTATTGATCCAGTAGGTTTAAGTGGTGGTCTATTATTATGTTGGAATCCATAAATCCAGGTTTCTCATATTATATGTAAGAACTTCTACATTGTTGTTCAATACAAGATGGCATATTCTACATCTACCTGAGGGATTTTTGTTTATTTAAGCACTTCCAACTTAGTCAGGCAAGATCAATGGAGCGAACTAAAATCAGCCAAGTCACTTTGGGAAATCACTGGTACATCTTGGGTGATTGGAATGACATCTGCTCAAATGCTAACAAAAGAGGAGGGATACCTAGATCAGACATCAGTATGGCAGGGTTCAACAATTTCATTAACCTGATGGAGATGGAAGAAATCAAGATGATAGGGAACAAGTTTACCTGCTACAATAATAGGTTCACTGAGGGCCTAGTAGAAGAAAAGTTGGATAGAGGTTTTGCCAGATTGGTTAGAGAATCATCCTCATGCTTACATCTCTACATTGGCCAGAGCCTTTTCAGATCACTCTATGCTGCTGCTTCATTTTGGGGAAAGAAAAGACAAGAGGAAAAGCCACTACTCATTTGATAAAAGGTGGCTTGCCATGAAAGGTGTTGGAGATATAGTGCAAGCAGCCTGGAACATCTCTCACTCAGGCACCCCCTTCTTTATCTTGAAAGAGAAAATCAAAACCACCAGACTTTCTTTGCTGAAATAGAGTGCATCTTTCAAACCCAAAACCAGTCACTTATTGTCAACCTCTCCAAGAAACTAGAATTACTTCAGCAGAACAGAAACTCCACAACATGGGAAGAATGGATTGCCACTAAAAGGGACCTGGAAGCAGCTCACAGATCAGAAGAAATATATTAGCAACAAAAAGCCAAAGTGCAATGGCTGAAGGAAGGTGACTGAAACTCAAAGTTCTTCCATGCATACACTATGCATAGAAGAAGACAAAATGCAATCACAAGTCTTCTTACAAATCAGAACAGACTGTGCACCACCCAAAAGGAAATTCAAGCCCATATTTCTGAATTTTACTCAACCTCTTCACCTCTGAAGGTTCATGGGGAGGAGACTCACTTTTTCAGCTCATTTCTCCCTCAGTCACATCAGACATGAACCAACAATTAATGAAGACAGTAGATGAGGAGGAGATCAAGGCAGCTCTATTCAGCCTCTATCCAGATAAATCCCTAGGAGAAGATGGTATGACAACTCTGTTTTGTCAATCTTTTTGGGATGTCATTAGGCCTGAATTAGTTGCTGTTATTTCCAGTTTCTTCAATGATAACTGTATGCTTCTCAAATCCCTGAACCACACAATTGTAACTTTTATCCCAAAATGCATCACTCATTTCAGACCTATCAGTTTATGCTCAGTGGCTTACAAAATTCTTTCAAAAATCTTAGCCCTCAGATTACAAAGTTGCTTGAATGTGTGCATAAGGGAGTCTCAATCTGCTTTTTTCAAGTGCAGACAACTTATGGATAATGTAATTGTGGGTCAGGAAGCTTTCCACTTCTTAAATAGGCATAACTCAGGGAAACATTTCTTTATGGCTCTGAAACTTGATTTAATGAAAGCGTTTGACAGAGTGGAGTGGATTTGTATTAAGAAAATTATGCTGCAGATGGGGTTCCACCAAAACTTTGTCAAGTTGATCATGATTTGCATCTCCTCTTGCTCATATTCTTTTAAAGTGAATGGAGAAGTCAGTGGATATGTCTACAAGGGAATCCATTGTCCCCTTATCTTTTCATAATTGTTACAGAAATGCTAACTGCCTTAGTTTCTGAAGCCATCACAGCAGGTACTCTAACAGGGTTGAGGCTCTCCAGGAATGGCCCTACTATCTCTCACATGCTCTTTGCATATGACTCCATGTTCTTCTGCAAAGCCAGCATTGATCAGGCCAACTCCCTTCTTTCAATTTTGGAGAGATATAGACAGTTCACTGGACAAACTGTAAATCTGAGCAAATCTTCTGTTTTCTTCAGCAGAAATTCTCCTGATCATCTGAAAACTAACATTTGTGCAGTCTTTCCTAGCATCATACCACACAGATCCACAAAATATTTGGGCCTTCCACTTGGCATTGGAAGGTCTAAGGTGGCAACATTCAAGTACATCTTGGACTCTGTTCAATAAAAACTCCAAAGCTGGAGATCTGAACTCCTTTCCCAAGCAGATAAAGTTGTTCTCATCAAAGCAGTCCTACAAGGCCTCTCAATCTTCTCTATGTCTTGCTTCAATATCCCAAAGACCCTTTGTGCTGAGATTTCTAAACTCTGTTCCAACTTTTGGTGGAATACAAGAGAAGATAACTCCCAAGGGATCCACTGGAAAGCCTGGAACCTGCTCACAATTCCTAAAGAAGATGGAGGACTAGGCTTCCTTGACTTACAACTCTTCAATATGGCACTCTTTTGCAAATAATTATG